TTCTTTATAATATCTTTGAACGAATTGACGGTTTGGTCAAATTGACCAGAAGTACTACAAATGACTACTAACTCATAGAATGGGTTCTTCTCATCTAGTTCTTGTTGTTGTGCAGCCATTTTAAGATAAGTGAAAGTCTTACCCGACCCAGGTGGTGCAATTAGACCTGTTATACCATTCTGAGCAAATAAGAACTTGTCATGTATAGGTTTTATCTGAGCATTTTCTAACTTCCTCTTGTTCTTATTTAAAACATTCTCAAATTTCTTGTCAATGTCAGCAAACTTTTTTCTAACATATTTTTTAGAAAATTAAAATTTTTATCTTTTAGAAAATGTCTAGCGATTTCGCTATCTATATTCGAGACAAGCTTTTCGACAGCAAAACATCTGTCGACCATAAAATCTTACAAGTGTAAACAAGAAAGGTGAATTTGTTCTAAAGTTCTGTTTCTGGGAATATGACAAGAACCATAAAACATTAAGCAAGAACGAGTCTTAAAAAATTTGTCAATGACAGACTTGTTGACAGAGATGACGCGATTGGAAAGATGAAGTCCAACAAAAGTTCTAGAATGCAAAGAAGACACATGCGCTGTTTCTTGAAGATGAAATAGAAAACAAGAATAGAAGAGCTATTAAAGGACAAAGAACTTTTACAAAAATATGGTTCTGAGAAGTTTGACATAACTCCACCAGAAAAGAAGAAAGAGAGAAAAAGAAAGAAAAGAAAGTAGAAGAAGAGAAGAAAGAACCTGAACCAGTTCCAGAGAAAAGAAATTTGACATGTAAAAATAAAATTTTATTTTTAGAACATTTCTGGGTCAATGTCAATGTTCTCTTCCTCTTTAGGAGTAAACACTGGCTAGACTCTAAAATCTTTTTACCCAATTTACCTTGAACTTCAACTATCTTAGACTCATAATATTCATAGTCGTCTGCTTTCTTTGGTTCATAAGGTATAACAAGTTTTGTATGCTTTGCCTTCTTTAAGGTTTGAAATCCTTCTGTCAAAACTTTCTTTGACTGCTAACAAACCTTCTATGTCTAAGTCTTCAAATTTCGCACCATTTTTAGTCACAATAGCAAACTTAACTGGTTCGATGTTCCAAACTTTGCTGAATGAAGACTTTTCAAAATGGTAGAAGTAAACATTCAAATATGTGAATGGGTCTAGTTTCTTTTAAGTCCTGACATGTACTTGTTTACTGAGATGAATTTTGCCATCTTTTCTATCGGATAAAAAATATTTTTTTTAAAATTTACTCATAAAAATTTTTTTTGTATATACACCATTCTGTACGTCTAAAAGACTTTTGACATTTGCCAAGAATGTTCGTTTAGACGCTGTCATATAACCATATTCTTGACAATATTGTTTATACGAATCGTACAATGACTTTCATCTAAACACTCAAAGTCAGTTTCATCTATGAACGTTCATATACACTCTTTTTGCTCTCTAACAATGTTTGTCTCTCTTCGGTATGTGGAATTTGTCTTGGATTGAACTTTGAAATATCTAATGTCATAAAATATGAGAACAAATGGTTGTAAAAAGTCAGATGTCAAAGTTTCTGCTAAGTCGTCAAATATTCTGTATCTTGCATATGAGCTTCTGACGTTCTGACAACTACATATCTTCTGTCAGAACTTTCTAACTTCATCGGAACAGCATTGTTTGAAACCATAATGAAGTTTGCAACATTTTCACAAACTCTTTGGTCTTTATACTTTCTTTCAACAACTCCAACTTTGTCTGTTATAAGACTCTTCAAAGCATCTGAGTTCAAAACTTTTGTTGTATCTATACTTTGAAGTTCATTGCAAACTATAAGTTTCATATTCTCTATTGAGGAGTTAAACTGCCACAGATGTTTTCTAAGTTTGTCATATTCGGATTCGAATAGCCCTCTAACAGTTTGCACAAAATATCTGTAAAGAATGTGTTCTTACAGTTCCTTGTTTTCCAATTATAATGAGAGCAGTTTCATTTTTAGCACTTGGATGTTGTAAGATGTTTGCAAACCAACAATAAGATATACTCATAGACTCTTTTCGTTTCCATTGCATATAATTTCTTTGACATGGTCTAACCAAGCTTCTATAATATTTTCTTTCCATTCTACTTGTTCATATTTATATCCAGTGAAGATAGAATAGAAGTTTGGAGAAGGTGTATAGAACTTTATACCACGAACTGAAAAATCTTCTAACTTGACAATAAGATATCCCAAGCATCTAACATCTTCATGCCAACTTGTACAACTTTTATTTCTTAAGTTTCTGTCTACATTCTTGTTCTGAAACTATTGTCGCTTTAGGTTTGTTAAAGACTACATCCATTCTTTCATAACATAACATTCGGGGCAGAGTCGACATAAATGACTAACGTTTCAAATTCTCGACTGCTTTGTTATAGTCTCGAAATGGACACATATTTCTGAATGCTTGGAAGTCATAAAAATCTGAAACATCTATTCTGTACATTTTTATAAAATAAAAAAAAATATTTTTTTTTATTCTTACTTTGTTGTTGCATTTGTGTGCATTTGTTGTTTCTTGAGCTATTTGTTGTTGAAGTTGTTCTTGTAATACAATACTTTCACGCAGTTGCATCTTCCAATTCGAAACTTTCTGCCGTCATTGACAAATACATAGGACATAAAAGTTTTACAGGAACAAAGTTTGCGTCAACTAATGTCAACGTTATACTTGCCAAAGTGTTTGAGTTCACTAAGGTTGAAAATTCTGCATTCGAATGAACAATAGGCAAACCAGCAGAGAAAGTATTGTTTATACGCATAAGTATCTTTGGTCATAATAGTTTCTGTCGACATTCGAATAACACTTTAACCTAAGTTTGAAACAATATATAAAGATTGGTGTGTTAATGTCAATGGAATAGACATTCCTTGTATGACACCTTTTCCTGTTATAGGAAACTGTTGGTAGTAAAAACCAGAAATAAGTTTTGTATTATAGCTCATATCGTTTATAGTAAACTCAGTCGGACATCCAAACATAATGAAACCTGCTCTAGTTGCAGCAATGTTACACCTGTACTTAAAGTATTAAATAAGTCAACAAAACCTGTTGGTGGTATATCTGAGTAAGTATCTTCAAAGGAGTATTTTTTACCATTCACAACAATAAAGTCTTCTGGTGTCAAAAGAGCAAAACAGGCTTTAGTCGTCATTGTGTTTAAGGTTAGTTTACAATATCGTCCTTGAGGACTTTGTAAGTTTGTTGTTATAGAATTATATGACTCAGGGTTTTTAGTCGTAATAGTATAAACCATTATATCTTCTGCCATTTATATATATTTAAAAGTTTTTCTGAAAGTGGAGAAGAACTTCATCTAAACTTTCACATGGCGTTTCTTGAAGTTCTCTGTCTAAGAAGTTCAAATATTTTGTAAAGACATAGAACTTTCCTTTGTCTACACGAACAAACAAAACAGGGACTTTCATATCGTTCAAAAGTGTGAAAGTCCTTTACATGAAATAAAGTCTATATTATTTTTCTTCAAACATCTTTCAAGAAGTTTTGACATTTTTACTTAGCAAATAAATTTTAATGAAATGTTGTGGTCGTCAAATATTTTTATGACGTCTGGGAAACTATACTTTAAGTTCAACGTTTCACCTCCTTTCATAACGTATATCTTGTCAATGACATTATATGAAACACCACAGCAACTAATGTCGGGTTCTATTTCTTTGATGTTTATATCGTCTGCCTCTGTCAAAAGTTTCAATAGTTCTTTCAAAACTTCATGAGGTGCAATGACATATGAGTTCACTTTTACAGGGTTGTGTTCGACCAAGTTTAACATTATACTTAAAGCTTGACAAATCTTCTCCTGAGTTTGAAGTTTGTCTTTCAGTTGTTGGTAGTCGTTTCGAATATCTGCAACAGAACTTAAGTCTCTGCTAACTTCAGGATATGTTGGTTCTTTACAGGAACAATTGTTATACCATCTTCGTCTTCGTATGGTTTCCCCACTTCAACATCTCTGTCTTTGACATTGACAATAACACTTTGACTGTTTGTTTGAGTTTGGTGAATTTAACTTCACATCTGCCACCGCCATTAAACCTTTTGAACACTCACGCTTCTATTTTTCGGAAATGACATTTTACTTAGAATAAAAAGATGGACGTATTCGGATATCTTATTGAATTGAAGCAGAACAAAGTTTATACTCACAAACAATACAAATACATTGACAGAATAGTTCTTTACACAAACAATGGAAAATGTTATAGAATAGCAGTCTTTGCTGAACCTAAATATTTTCATAAAGCAAAGAAAGTTGGTATAACTGAAATGGTGAAAGTTCTTGAAGCAGACAAAAATATAACTTCAAAACTTACAGATATTTCTAAAGGTAAGTTTATCTTACAATATTATGTCAAAACTGGCGTACTGTCAATATTTGACGGAGAGAAGTCAGTTCAAGAACAACTTACTGACCTGCTGCCAAATCTGCTCGATGGAAGCTGTCGTTATGCCAATCTGAGGAGCCCCAGCAGGTTTCATCGAACGAATCTTCAAAAGAGCATCTTCCGTGAAAAGTGCTATTGGTTTTGTAAACTTCTTTGCTCTCAGTTCATCTGGACCGTCTCTGTCACCAGTATATTGTATTTGTACAGTACCAACAGTTGAAATACCACCCATAAAGTCTTCTGAGTCAGCAAATGGAATGCCAAGCCAAAGTTTGAACGGTCTCCATTTGTATATTGAGTTTTTTGACCTCCTGTATGAGTCCATACTTTCACATATGGCATAATAGAACTTTGCATTTCAGGGTTAATGGTTGTTGTGAAGTTGTTGTTAAAGTTCATAGCATCTAATGTCAAGTTGTATGACCTCATATCCTCAACTGTAGAATATTCTTCTCTTGGATAATATTTGCCATCTATGTTTATATGATATTTAATACCGGGGTTGTAGAAACAAGAATAGTCATTTATAGTTCGTCTGAACAGTACAAACATAGTATCTGCATGTTTCATTGCAGTTGTTAAAGCAATATCTGTTCTTGCACCTGGGTCAGCACTTTGGTTTCCAACTTCACCTGCAAAGTCTTTGACAGATATTTGGTGTATAGGGAACATAAGTGGAACTGCAATATATTTGGCAGCTAAAGCATTTGAAATATCTGGGTCCAACATATAGACTGCAAGTCTGCTTTCTATTCTCTTGCATTCAAACTTTTCGCATGTAAACTTAACTGGGTCCCAAGCAGTTCCAGCAGCATTGAAATAATAGTTTACTTCATTGTTGAAGTTTGAGAAACCAAAGTCTAAGTCAACTTTGTCTTTGCAAAATTCGGCGAATGATGTTTGATTTGTTCCCTTTACGTCTGTAAGAGTGAATGGGTCTTGTGTTGGTGCAATGACTAAGTTATTTTTGCTTGGAGTAAGTTCGATAGAAATTTTTCCTGCCCAGTTTGGCAAGTATCTTAAAAACCTGAAGATGAGGAAAGATGACAAAGGAACTCTAAGTTTCAGTTTTACTTTAGTGGCAGCAGTTCCATCTGAACCAGAAAGGTTAACATAAACTCCTGGAACGTTAGGGTCAAGTCTTCTTATTTTCTCAATATTTGCATACTGGTCTGTTTGTTCTCTAGCTTGTGGTTGTACTGAGTTTCTCAAAGCGAACCATTCATAGTTTGCCCATGTTACTGTTTGAACTAAGTCAGAGTTAGAATATATCTTATATCCCATGAAAACTTCTGGAGCATATTGGTATCCGACATAGAAAATTCCATTGCAACCTTTCTTGTCAGACAACTTGGCAGAAGGTTTTATTTCAATGTCTTGTTCCACGTATAAGAATGAGTTGTCAATAGAAATAATATGAAACCTGTCGCAAGCAATATCTACTGTTGTTGAAGAACCTTCTCCAAACTCACCTACGTTTCCATAAGAAACAGCAGTTGTATATTCGTAAGTTCAGGAACTATTTTGACCTTCTAATGGCATTGTCGCATTCGTTATACATTCGGAAACATTTCCGTTCATGGCATCCAAAACTGTTGGCGTTATATTCTGAGCGGCGTACATTTCATATGGGTAAATATAGAATAGTTGGATTTATGTGTCATAATAGAACCATCGGACCAAGCTTTACTTTCTTCCTGACTGAGTTTTTAACTCTTCTTTTTCCTTCATTGCCACTACTTTCACTAGATAAGTTACTTCTTCACTACTTTCACTTTGTTCTACTCTTCTCTTCTTCTTTGGTGTTCGCTTTTTGGTAACTGCCTCTGCTTCAAGTTGTTGCATCTTTGCCTCATGTTCTAGTATGTTTAAATTTCCCATGTCCTTTTTGCCTTTGGGCTCTGGTCGCCCATCTCAGGTAACCTATATCCTAGAAAGATTTTGTCATAGTTTGTATTTGAGTCTTCGCGTATTGTTTGCATGACTCTTTCCTGAGTTTCCGGTTCAAGCTCTTCAAACAGAGCTTGTCCATATGGAATAAGCTCGTTTCCAAATATATTTTGTAGCATTCTGGTTTTCTTTCCATGTTACCAATAATATCTTTTGTGAATGGGAAAGCTTTTACCCAATGTTTCAGTCTTGCGTCATTTATTTCTGTAGTTGGTTTTATTTTGTCAAGGAACATGTTTTTCAATACTAACATTTCATTTGGTACTGTCCATTTGAGTTTTCTTAAATATTCATCCTTCTCAGTTCATTGTCTGCAAAGTAAGTTTTTATGACATTTTGTAAACTTTCGTTTGCAAGGTCATGTACAATAGGTTCTCTTCCTTCTATCTCCTAACTTTCTTTCTAAACTCTTCACCAAATATACCATCTCTATGGTTCTGTGTAGTTCTTTGAGATAAATGTTCTAGAACGTCAGGTGTTATATTCCATCAGCCATGTTCATTTCATACTGGTCCAAAATATCTGCATGTTTCATATCTTTCAATGGCATTAAAGCCGCTGAAAATACCAGCTATATCTGGTTCACCATTCACTTCCATTGCGTCTACAACTTCTTGGAATTGTGGTTGTAAGTTTATGAACCACCTATCCGGATTAGCTTTATGACCCCATCTCATTGTAGTTCCATAGTCTGCAGAAACAAAAGTAGGTTTGTTTCCATATTGGTTAGGTTCTGAATGAACTTTAAACAATGTTTCATTTCTATATGTTTTGTTGAAATTTAACCTTTTATTTTCACCGAGTTCAGCCAAAGATTGAACGTTATATGGTCGTAAGTAAAAAGGATTGTTGTATTTGCGTACACTTTCTTTCAGTTCTTCCATTCTATGCTGAATATTTTCATCTGATGTTGGAGTCTTTTGTATGTCGGCGAACATTTTTCGATATTCTTCTACTATGTCAGCTGAATTTTTCTTAGACTCTTGGAAAGATTCCATATTCTCCGCATACTCTTGTTGAGGGTCAAGATTTTTCGGCTGTTCCAAATCTTCATCTAGTTCTGTGAAGTTAGTTTCCAAAGGAGGGACTTGTTTGTTTCCTTCAGGCTCTTCTAGCTGTTGTTGCTGAACTATTTCTTCCATGTCTGGTTGTATCTGAACTTCTTCCTGTGGAGTTTCTTGTACCTCATCTGCTGGCATTTCATATATTCCGAGACCGTTTTTAACAAGTTCCCTATTTAAGTCATCCGCATTCATAACCCTTTCTTCTTTCGTTCCGTCTCTATTTTTTACGCGTTTCATGAAGATAGTTGAATTATCATTTATCTCTGACACCAAATATCTCGGAGTAAATTCATTCATGTCATTTGGATGATATGCTATTAAATCATATCCCTTAGCGAGCTTGTATTTTCCAGGTTTGAAATTATATCCCATTTGGTGCTGAACCATAAAGCTAAATAGGTTCGGGTCAGTATTTCCTTCCTTGAACTTTCTAATAGCTTCTTTATATCTGTCACTAAAGTCAAGAGTATCTGGGTAACCATAATTTTCCTTAAGCATTTTTAAGAATTCTTGGTTTCCTTGTTCTCTACTTCTTTTATGTCCTTGCTCTGTTTGTGGTGCTGGATTTTGAACTGTTGGTTGTGGTGCTGGATTTTGAACTGTTGGTTGCTGTGCAGTGTTTTGAACTGTTGGTTGTGGTGCAGTGTTTTGAACTGTTGGTTGTTGTGTTGGTTGTTGTGTTGGTTTTGGTGCATGCCTGTGTCTGTGTCCATGTGACGATGTAAATGTTTTAGGTAGTCCTGGTGCAGGTGCTTCTCTTGGAGGGTTTGGTGGTATATAAGTTCCACCAGCTGGCACATATGTTCCATCTGCAGCATAATGTCCTACCTGACTTTTCGTTCTTAAGAAAGCATTTACTAGGTCTGTTTTGGTCTGTTGTAACTCTTTTTCTTGACTTTCCACAACAGTTGCTCTAACGGCGTCATAGGCACTTTGAACTGCCTGTCTCGTTGCTGCATCTGTTATTTTCGTCATATTTTGTGCTACTTCTCTTAACTCGTTGTCGAAACCTTCAGACTTCAGTTTCTTTCCAGATGAGAAGTCGTTCACTAGTTTCACCTTACTATGAAGAGCTTCGAAGGCGTTCTTAAAGTCAGCATTCATTAAAGCTTCATTTGAACTGTCTTCATCCGCTTGTATTTTTGTCCTTATTGACCCTATAAGTTGGGCTGCTTTAGCGTTGGCTTGGGCATCTAACCAGTCATTATTAGCTTTTATATATTCTGCGCTTTTCATTGCCTTTTGCATGGCTGCGTCGTTATTTTTACTTTCTTGTGCTAAGTTTTCATACTGTACGGTTTGGTTTTGCAACTGTAAAAGTTTTTCTGCCTTTACATTTGCTTCAACTTCTTTTTTATACTCATCGCTATCCATATATGTCTTCAGGGCTTTTTGTTTTATTTCTTCATCTTTCAGTACTTTATATTGAGTAGTATGGTTTTTCAAATTTATAACATCTTGTTCCATTTTTGCTACTTCTGCTGCTTTTTCTGACACTTTTTCGCATATTCCTCTGTACTTAGTTCTTTCAGTTGTTCTTCTTTCTTCTTTTTCTCTACGTTTAACTCATTGAGTTTCTTTGTGTGTCTGTCATATTCTAGTTTCTTTTCGTTTTCACTTATTTGTTTCTGTATGTCTATGTTTGACTTTTTGACATCTGTTATTTGATTTTTGAGTGAACTCAAATTCATTTGACTTTGAGGGTTATAAGCTGTTCCGTCTGCAGCTCCACCATAGCCTGCCATTTTCGCTAAAAGTGCCGCTCTTAAACCTCCACTCTGTGCACCAATAACTCGGCTTAAAAGCATAGGGTTGCTTGACATTTGTTGCAACATAGTGGGGTCATTCATCATTTGTTGTTGCAACTGTTGTTGTGGTGTCAGTTTTACTATTGTGTTTCAATGCTCCCTTCCTCTTACGTATATTCTTACGTAGCTTACGTGGCATTTTAAGTGAAGTTAAAAAGCGGTTTTTGACAGATGTTTATATGACACTATTTGTTCAGCACAAAAACTACTCGGTCAAAGTGTTGTCAGTTTTGTAAAATAACCGTCCTATCTCATTCTATAAGGAGAAAAGGCTTCTCAAAGTATACTTCCTTGGAACGCCCGTAACTTTTCCTGTAGCGACGATAGACCCTTACTTGTCCGGACAAAGTTATACTATTTTGAGTGCTCTACAAAAAAGTCAACGGCTGGTCGGCTGGGGTTCGGTCCTCCTCTTGGGTCTTGGGCAAAATTTCTTAGGGGCTAGAAGGGGCGCAGCCCCTGGAAGCCCCATTAACTTTTTTTTTTATTTTCTCCCCAAATATATAATACCTTCCTTATAAACGATCTACTTTCTTTGAATACAAGTATAATTTTACATTTTAGGAAAAAAATTTATTTTTTCAAATTTATCTTATAACAATAGAGATTTATATATATGTGTGTCAATATAGGCTTTAGTGGTATAAAATTGGGTAGATTTTGTTTTATTTTGAGTAAAAAATTCAAAAAATACTACCTCATTTTGCGTGCAAAGGAATAGTCAGAGCTATTTAATAACATTTTACGAATGAACTATGGAATTACTATAACTTTTGAAGAAATTTCAAAGTTAATAGAAGATTGTATTTTAGAAATCAGCTAAAAGAATGGTGTGCATGCATCAAGCGTTAAAGTATCCTAATCAGAATATAGTAATATACAATGATTAGCAAAGCAGATTTGAATCGGCAAGAAGAGTTGCTTAAAAAATCAGTTGAGTCTTCTCTAGTTTCCACACTGCCTATTCCTGTTTAAGTGCGGTTATTCCTATTCCAGTTTTTGGTGCTTTACTATGATAACCAAATTGATTTGGTTATCATAGAAAAGAGACCATTATCATGCTTAGAATTAATTATGTTTAGGGTCGGTTTATTGGAATAAGGAAGTTTATAATACGTGAACACTTGTTTCCTCATCGAAAAGTCATAACGCATAAAGTCGATGTTTCCTTAGTACAAAAAGTGACATATGACGCTTAACTCTTTATTCCAGATAATAACCATATTTATGGGATGAAAAAGTTTAGGAAGCTTCTCCCCAATTTCTGATACACGGTGTTGTATCGAAGTAAAAGAAAATTTTTGGAACAGAATTTGATCGAGCCAAAATTGTTCTTTTTGTTTGATTTGATTTGAACTCTTTTGGTAACTCAGTTACTGTCAATGTCTTGGATGTTTTATATTCTTTTATTTTTGTCCTGAGTGCTTGCTTTAGTTGAATAGATTCCAAAATCTCATATATTTTATTTTTGGAATAACTAGTCTTTCTACTGATTTCCTCTATTAATGTTTTCATTCTTAATTTAATAGTTATTAACTGTGGAATATCTTGAGTATTCATTGATTGTCGATATTCATCTAATAAATGAGCCCACAAACCAACTAGCTTAATTCTATTCTTGTCTGAATTCTTTTTAATCTGAGACAAATCAAATGTGGGATTGTTAATTTGATTAATCACTCTTTCAACAGTTTTTTGCTTATCAGTAACTTCTAATTTAGATATTTTGAAATCTACTTGATTCTTCAATTCGGAATTAATATGTTGATGCTCTTTTTGGAGAATATCTTTATCCATTGTGTAATGCATGAAAATTCGGTTCAATTCATTTTTGACACTTTACATATCGGATGTATTATCTAAGAATTATATTATAAAATAATAATTTTGTGTTTTATAAGTTTATTTGTATAAATTGATTCAAAAAAATGGAAAGACAAGAAGTGGATCTGCCAAATGAAAATCAGATTTATATTACGGCATATCTTGAATATTCTATTGGCAAAAAGACAGCAGACCAAGTTGCAAAAGATTTGCACATAGGTAGAAAAAAATTATTATTAAAATGGCAAGAACTTGGTTTAAATCCAAAAAAGCTCGGAAGACCAGAAACTCCTCTTAGAACAGATTTGTTACCAACCATTCACGAAATAAAAGCTAAGTACAATCTAGGTTATAAAAAAGTTTTAGAGAGTTACATACATGATGACACAGTTTCATTTCACGATATGCTTAAATTATACGAAAAAGAGAATCTTTTCAAATTTCGGCGAGATCCAGAAAAAATTGATGAACATCCAAATCAGTATGTTTCCCAATACGTAAATCAGCAATGGCATACTGATTTAAAAAGCTTCAAAGAAGAGACAAATGGTACCAAGCATACTTATCATTTAATTGCCTTTATCGATGACAGATCTCGTTTTTGTATTTATTACGAAATTCTTCCCGATAAAACAATGAAATCAACTTCAAAAGCTTTACAAAATGCTATCGACTCTATCAAAATTATTCCATACGAACTTTTGACAGATAATGGATGCGAATTTAGAGGAAAGGACTTCAAAAACGTTCTTCAAGTAAATGGCATTCAACACCATCGGACAGAACCTTACACACCACAGTTAAATGGTAAAATAGAACGTTTTTGGCAAACAATCTTTTCGGTTCGCCCAGATTTTATCGAAATAAGAGAATTTTTACCTCACGCAATAGAAGAATACAACACAGTATGGGTTCATACAGCTTTTAAAGATCTTTTCGGTGGAAAACCTACTCCAAAATCAATTTGGGACCAGGGTCCTAAATGGACAAAGGACTTAAACCCAAATCCTGAGTTCGAAATACAGCCTTGTAACTAAAAATAAAGTAAAAATACGAATAAACATTTTATTATAATTTAAATAATTTTTTTATTCATAAAGTAATACGATATATAGCTAAGCTATGTAAGGATATTCTGATGCTGAGAGTTTAAGAACTTTAAATTACGTATAGAAAAAAAAATTCATTTAATATTTTGTAACATTTTTTAAATTGATAGATAGTTAGATTTTGTAGGGAAGGTAAGATTCTTTGTGGTAATAATGGTCGTTGAAATTAAAATGAATGTAAGATTTGTGGAGAAATTGTATAAATTTGCATAGTGTTAGATTCAGAATAGGAGCATATGAGCCAGTGATTGTGTCTAATGTTTTTAAGGTGCTAATTGGAAGTAGAAAAGAAAAAATTTGTTGCAATAACATCATATTGCAAAAAAGTTTTTAAAATATGATGTATGAATAAGAGTATGATTGGTATAGATTTGGGTTGTATAAATGTGATTGAACAATTGTTAATGGAAAGTTCAAAAACTTGGGTGCAATCAGAACTGATTGCACCCAAGTTTTTGAACTTTGTATAAGGAATTGTTGGCTATGATGTACTGATCATGAATCAGTACATCATAGCAAAAAAAAAAAGGTAGTGGGGCTTCCAGGGGCTGCGCCCCTTCTAGCCCCTAAGAAATTTTGCCCAAGACCCAAGAGGAGGACCGAACCCCAGCCGACCAGCCGTTGACTTTTTTGTAGAGCACTCAAAATAGTATAACTTTGTCCGGACAAGTAAGGGTCTATCGTCGCTACAGGAAAAGTTACAGGCGTTCCAAGGAAGTATACTTTGAGAAGCCTTTTCCCCTTATAGAATGAGATCGGACGGTTATTTTACAAAACTGACAACACTTTGACCGAGTAGTTTTTTGTGCTGAACAAATAGTGTCATATAAACATCTGTCAAAAACCGCTTTTTAACTTCACTTAAAATGCCACGTAAGCTACGTAAGAATATACGTAAGAGGAAGGGAGCATTGAAACATCCAATAGTAAAACTGACACCACAACAACAGTTGCAACAACAAATGATGAATGACCCCACTATGTTGCAACAAATGTCAAGCAACCCTATGCTTTTAAGCCGAGTTATTGGTGCACAGAGTGGAGGTTTAAGAGCGGCACTTTTAGCGAAAATGGCAGGCTATGGTGGAGCTGCAGACGGAACAGCTTATAACCCTCAAAGTCAAATGAATTTGAGTTCACTCAAAAATCAAATAACAGATGTCAAAAAGTCAAACATAGACATACAGAAACAAATAAGTGAAAACGAAAAGAAACTAGAATATGACAGACACACAAAGAAACTCAATGAGTTAAACGTAGAGAAAAAGAAGAAAGAAGAACAACTGAAAGAACTAAGTACAGAGGAATATGCGAAAAAAGTGTCAGAAAAAGCAGCAGAAGTAGCAAAAATGGAACAAGATGTTATAAATTTGAAAAACCATACTACTCAATATAAAGTACTGAAAGATGAAGAAATAAAACAAAAAGCCCTGAAGACATATATGGATAGCGATGAGTATAAAAAAGAAGTTGAAGCAAATGTAAAGGCAGAAAAACTTTTACAGTTGCAAAACCAAACCGTACAGTATGAAAACTTAGCACAAGAAAGTAAAAATAACGACGCAGCCATGCAAAAGGCAATGAAAAGCGCAGAATATATAAAAGCTAATAATGACTGGTTAGATGCCCAAGCCAACGCTAAAGCAGCCCAACTTATAGGGTCAATAAGGACAAAAATACAAGCGGATGAAGACAGTTCAAATGAAGCTTTAATGAATGCTGACTTTAAGAACGCCTTCGAAGCTCTTCATAGTAAGGTGAAACTAGTGAACGACTTCTCATCTGGAAAGAAACTGAAGTCTGAAGGTTTCGACAACGAGTTAAGAGAAGTAGCACAAAATATGACGAAAATAACAGATGCAGCAACGAGACAGGCAGTTCAAAGTGCCTATGACGCCGTTAGAGCAACTGTTGTGGAAAGTCAAGAAAAAGAGTTACAACAGACCAAAACAGACCTAGTAAATGCTTTCTTAAGAACGAAAAGTCAGGTAGGACATTATGCTGCAGATGGAACATATGTGCCAGCTGGTGGAACTTATATACCACCAAACCCTCCAAGAGAAGCACCTGCACCAGGACTACCTAAAACATTTACATCGTCACATGGACACAGACACAGGCATGCACCAAAACCAACACAACAACCAACACAACAACCAACAGTTCAAAACACTGCACCACAACCAACAGTTCAAACACTGCACCACAACCAACAGTTCAAAACACTGCACCACAACCAACAGTTCAAAACACTGCACCACAAACAGAGCAAGGACATAAAAGAAGTAGAGAACAAGGAAACCAAGAATTCTTAAAAATGCTTAAGGAAATTATGGTTACCCAGATACTCTTGACTTTAGTGACAGATATAAAGAAGCTATTAGAAAGTTCAAGGAAGGAAATACTGACCCGAACCTATTTAGCTTTATGGTTCAGCACCAAATGGGATATAATTTCAAACCTGGAAAATACAAGCTCGCTAAGGGATATGATTTAATAGCATATCATCCAAATGACATGAATGAATTTACTCCGAGATATTTGGTGTCAGAGATAAATGATAATTCAACTATCTTCATGAAACGCGTAAAAAATAGAGACGGAACGAAAGAAGAAAGGGTTATGAATGCGGATGACTTAAATAGGGAACTTGTTAAAAACGGTCTCGGAATATATGAATGCCAGCAGATGAGGTACAAGAAACTCCACAGGAAGAAGTTCAGATACAACCAGACATGGAAGAAATAGTTCAGCAACAACAGCTAGAAGAGCCTGAAGGAAACAAACAAGTCCCTCCTTTGGAAACTAACTTCACAGAACTAGATGAAGATTTGGAACAGCCGAAAAATCTTGACCCTCAACAAGAGTATGCGGAGAATATGGAATCTTTCCAAGAGTCTAAGAAAAATTCAGCTGACATAGTAGAAGAATATCGAAAAATGTTCGCCGACATACAAAAGACTCCAACATCAGATGAAAATATTCAGCATAGAATGGAAGAACTGAAAGAAAGTGTACGCAAATACAACAATCCTTTTTACTTACGACCATATAACGTTCAATCTTTGGCTGAACTCGGTGAAAATAAAAGGTTAAATTTCAACAAAACATATAGAAATGAAACATTGTTTAAAGTTCATTCAGAACCTAACCAATATGGAAACAAACCTACTTTTGTTTCTGCAGACTATGGAACTACAATGAGATGGGGTCATAAAGCTAATCCGGATAGGTGGTTCATAAACTTACAACCACAATTCCAAGAAGTTGTAGACGCAAGGGAAGTGAAATGGTGAACCAGATATAGCTGGTATTTTCAGCGCGGCTTTAATGCCATTGAAAGATATGAAACATGCAGATATTTTGGACCAGTATGAAATGAACATGGCTGATGGAAATATAAACCTGACGTTCTAGAACATTTATCTCAAAGAACTACACAGAACCATAGAGATGGTATATTTGGTGAAGAGTTTAGAAAGAAAGTTAGGGAGATAGAAGGAAGAGAACCTATTGTACATGACCTTTGCAAACGAAAGTTTACAAAATGTCATAAAAACTTACTTTGCAGACAATGAACTGAGAAGGGATGAATATTTAAGAAAACTCAAATGGACAGTACCAAATGAAATGTTAGTATTGAAAAACATGTTCCTTGACAAAAATAAAACCAACTACAGAAATAAATGACGCAAGACTGAAACATTGGGTAAAAGCTTTCCCATTCACAAAAGATATTATTGGTAACATGGAAAGAAAACCAGAATGGCTACAAAAACATATATTTGGAAACGAGCTTATTCCATATGGACAAGCTCTGTTTGAAGAGCTTGAACCGGAAACTCAGGAAAGAGTCATGCAAACAATACGCGAAGACTCAAATACAAACTATGACAAAATCTTTCTAGATATAGGTTACCTGAGATGGGCGACCAGAGCCCAAAGGCAAAAAAGGACATGGGAAATTTACAACATACTAGGTGAACATGAGGCAAAGATGCAACAACTTGAAGCAGAGGGCAAGTTACCAAAAGCGACACCAAAGAAGAAGAGAAGAGTAGAACAAAGTGAAAGTAGTGAAGAAGTAACTTCATCTAGTGAAAGTAGTGGCAATGAAGGAAAAAGAAGAGTTAAAAACTCAGTCAGGAAGAAAGTAAAGCTTGGTACGAGTGGGTTCTATTATGACAAATAAATCCAACTATTCTATATTTTTACCCATATGAAATGTACGCCGCTCAGAATATAACGCCAACAGTTTTGGATGCCATGAACGGAAATGTTTCCGAATGGTATAACGAATGCGACAATGCCATTAGAAGGTCAGAAATAGTTCCTGGAACTTACGAATATACAACTGCTGTTTCTTATGGAAACGTAGGTGAGTTTGGAGAAGGTTCTTCAACAACAGTAGATATTGCTTGCGACAGGTTTCATATTATTTCTATTGACAACTCATTCTTATACGTGGAACAAGACATTGAAATAAAACCTTCTGCCAAGTTGTCTGACAAGAAAGGTTGCAATGGAATTTTCTATGTCGGATACCAATATGCTCCAGAAGTTTTCATGGGATATAAGATATATTCTAACTCTGACTTAGTTCAAACAGTAACATGGGCAAACTATGAATGGTTCGCTTTGAGAAACTCAGTACAACCACAAGCTAGAGAACAAACAGACCAGTATGCAAATATTGAGAAAATAAGAAGACTTGACCCTAACGTTCCAGGAGTTTATGTTAACCTTTCTGGTTCAGATGGAACTGCTGCACTAAAGTAAAACTGAAACTTAGAGTTCCTTTGTCATCTTTCCTCATCTTCAGGTTTTTAAGATACTTGCCAAACTGGGCAGGAAAAATTTCTATCGAACTTACTCCAAGCAAAAATAACTTAGTCATTGCACCAACACAAGACCCATTCACTCTTACA